CCGGAAGTGGCGCTGTGGCTCAAGTGGTAGAGCGCTAGCCTTGAGCTGAAGAGCTGAGGGACAGCGCCCAGGCCCAGAGTTCAAGCCCCACAACCGGACCAAAAAAAAAAAAACCACACAAATAAAAAAAGTAAATAAGCCGAGCACTGGTGGCTCACGTCTGTAATCCTAGCTACTCAGGAGGCTGAGATCTGAGGATCGTGGTTCAAAGCCAGCCCAGGTAAGAAAGTCTGTGAAACTCTTATCTCCAACTAACCACCAGAAAAACAGAAGTGGTGCTGTAACTCAAGTGGTAGAACGCAAGCCTTGAGCTGAAGAGCTAAGGGACAGAGCCCAGGCCCAGAGTTCAAGATCCATGACCAAAAAAAATAAATATAAATAAACAACCCCAAGTCCTGGGGCTTGAACTCAGGGTCTGGGCACTGTCTCTAAGCCTCTCTGTGCTCAAAGCTAGCACTCTACCACTTGAGCCACAGTGCCACTTCCAGCTTTTTCTGTTTATGTGGTACTGAAGAATTGAATCCAGGGTTTCATGCATGCTAGGCAAGCACTCTACCACTAAGCCACCTTCTCAGCCCTGATTTTTTTTTTTTTGGGTTGGTCGTGGGGCTTGAACTCTGGGCCTGGGCACTGTACCTCAGCTCTTCAGCTCAAGGTGAACGCTCTACCACTTGAGCTACAGCACCGCTTCCGGTTTTCCAGTGGTTTATTGGAGATAGGAGTCTCACGGTCTTTCCTGCCTGGGCTGGCTTTGAACCTCGATCCTCAGATCTCAGCCTCCTGAGTAGCTAGGATGACAGGTGTGAGCCATAGGTGCCCAGCTGATTTATCTTTTAAAAACTAAAAAAATACATTCCTCCACACCTGTAATCCTAGCTACTCAGGAGGCTGAGATCTGAAGATCACGGTTCAAAGCCAGCCCAGGCAGGAAGTCCTGAGACTCTTATCTCCAATAAACCACCAGAAAACCCATAAGAGGCGCTGTGGCTCAAGCGGTAGAGCACTCACCTTGAGCTGAAGAGCTCAGAGACAGCGCCCAGGCCCAGAGTTCAAGCCCCACGACCAACCAAAAAAAAAAACATAACAAAATATTCCTTAGTAAGCAGAATGTGATCTGTTTCTTTGAAACAACCTTTTGGGGCTGGGAATGTGGCTTAGTGGTAGAGTGCTTACCTAGCACACATGAAGCCCTGGGTTTGATTCCTCGGTACCACATAAGCAGAAAAAGCTGG